CACGGAAAGTCTCAATCAGCTAGTAACAAGGACATTACTACTAGTAGCAAGAAGCTACTAGTAACTCTTGGCATTCCTACTAGGAACAAAAAGCTACTAGTAACAAGGGCATCGCTACTAGCAACAAGGGCAATATGGTATGAACATTTGTTCTCAAGATGCTGATGAGGATGCTGGCCCAACCCGGCCATATTGGAATGGCCGAAGTGGTCCAGAGGACACTCGAAAAACTGAATAATTGTATTATAATCAGTTGTGGGTCGAAATACTGTTCGGATGGCAACTGACGCTAGCCGCTAGGAGGGACATGGTCCTGCCTGGGCGGCACATAGCATGAAATCCGCTGCTCACGCGCATGGCGGCAGCCTTGGCAGAACGAGTCCCCACAGTCCGTCAAACGACTCGTTCTGGCGCAGGAAAGCGACTCTATCGAACTGGAGATTTGGCAAGGTGGACAGAGTCTGGATCCATCGATTTTTTGGGGCGGATTGATGGCCAGGCCGGATAGCCGAACGTCCTTTTTGGGCAGGGCATTTGCATCGCTGATTGTTTTGGCCAGGTTAAAATCAGGGGACAGCGCATTGAGTTGGGCGAGATTGAGTCAAAGTTGATGTCCCATGAGGCGTCCAAACGCAACAAGAACGCCAAAGGTTTCTTGGTATTGGCCAAGTAAAGACATTGTTCTCAGTAATACAACTCAACTATTGGAACTCAACAGTGCCTTCACATCATTTGCTTGTTCAGCTGCTACAGTAGGTTGGACCATCGCTAGTAGGTTGGAGGCCATCGCAGATTTTCTGAGCAGTAGCCGATGCCAGGCGGTCCGCGAATGCATCGTTCAATGCAGAAACTTTCCCGAAAACCACGACAAATTCTTGGCAGCCTATTGGACCCCAAAAGGTCTCTTGGACGCACATGTCAAGTCGCATCAAGGGTCTCTTGAGAGATGCGTTCCATTTGGGTAGGAACACGAAGCTACTAGGGGCTCCTGGCCTTACTACTAGGAACAAGGGCCTTACCACTAGTAACAAGAAGAATAGAATTAAAAGTAATTAGAATAAAAATTAGTAGCAAAGGAATCTACTAGGACCTTTTCGCGCGCGCGCATTCCTTGCTCCAAGTGCAAGGCTTTCGGTTCGCTGGTTCCAAGTGCCTTCCAGGTGGCTTCTAGAAGGTTGCTGGTGGGCTGGTTGTTGGTTGCTAAAATCCTTCAGGCCCACTCGTTGATGAGTCAACTATTTTGCAGTGGCTGAGCTCTGAATTGCCTCACTACATGATCCCCTCGGCCCAGCTGTCACACATTGCCCAGCTTGACCTGAAGACTTTGCGAACAGCACGGTTTTGGACATGAGGAGCCATTGCTACTAGGTAGGAGGCCATTGCTATTGTTAGGAGGAGATCGCTTCTAGGTAGGAGGGCAGAGCGGCCTTTTAAACAATCCCGTAAAGAACATGCTATGCCAGGTCATGGTGCGTCTTGAAGCGCTACCCCTGAACCCGAATGGCAAGGCAGCTCTTTTGATCTTCCTTTTGGCAGCTTGATGTTCTTTGGCCCTCCAACTTTGAGGGAGGCATAGTCAATTAGTGTGGTCCAAAGAAAGGGTTGGACCCAGGGTTTTTGGGAGGAATTGGGCCAATCGTTTGAGACAAGTGCCAACAAAATCGTTTGTCATTTGTGTGTGTTTAAGTTCTTCTTTAGAAAAGAAGACATGTTTAAACAATTCTTTTTCTTTGATGTGTGAGAGCGACTTCAGGTGGATCGCAGACGCCTACCAGAGCCGAAGCTTGGTCAGGAGTTCGTTTTTCTCGATGTCAACAAAAAGGAAACATTCTGAATCTTTCCTTTGAAAGGGAAAATTAATACCATAACAATACCTTCAAGCGACGGCCTCCATGAAAAACTCGTTTTCTAACGAGTTCGATTGAACCCAAGTTTGACTTCTCAAGTGAAGGAGGTGAAGCTGAAGCTTTTAGCTGTCAAGATTAGTTTGCTTTTAGGCTATTGAACTTAGAGACTTAGAGGGTTTACGAGTTGCCAGACGAATGCTCTTTGAATTCATGACCAGTAGACGTGTGGATAGATTGCAGATAAGAGAGATGCAGGTTAAAGTCCTACAAATTTAGGTAATTAGGTTGGAGGCCATCGCTCCTAGGGTAGGAGGCCATCGCTAGTAGCTTGGAGGCCATTGCTATTCGGTTAGGTTGAGAGTCTTGAGAGTCTTTGCAACCTTTGGGGCCCTTGGAACGTTGCAAGCAGGAGCATAGCGGGCCAGACCAGCCGCCTTTGAGCCGTTTGGAGGACGCAGCTGCTTGTCCTTGGCATAAAATGTCGTCATGGTTTATCTTGGTGCCCTTGTTCATAGAAAAGAACGGTCTAAACAAAAGAGAAGAGACTGTTGTTAGCGTGTGACTTTTACAAGATTGATCATGATTATTTGTTTGATAGCCAATGATGTAATTTCACCTTTCATGATGTAAGTTATGGTTCACGAAGGCAGATTAATATACGCATGAAATACTGCTGGGGGACGCTGTGAAAGATTCTCAGAAGACACTCCTTCACCTGCCAAATGCTTGTGAGAAACGGCCTTGGTGACAAACAGCGTTCAAGTAGTTGCTGACTCCTTTTCGACGGCAAAAGCCACCGACTCGGACAACGGCACATTTGCACTGTGATACTGCTCCGAACATTCAGGAACATTTGTGTCACACGGTGTCACAACACGATTTCGGGCTCGCAACTTCCAAGCCCAGTACCTTGGCGTCGGTTCTTTGGAAAAATGGTGCCACAGTACCTTCGCATCGCAAATTCGGAGTGCGGAAGGCATCGTACGTGGCACAAAAATTGACCTTCTTGGTGCTTTGCCAGAAGATATTCAGCAGGCCAGGCAACAACACCAGGGCCCGGAATGAACGCTGATCTAGGTGCATGGTAATATGAATATTGTTATACGTAAACTCTTGGCAACACTTCTCCACTGTAAAAGCCCTGCCGGTTCGTGCGAAAAATTCCTCACGAGGTTGAGAAAGCACTTCGTCAAAAGCGTCCTTACGAGCCTTGCCCGCGTCCGCCACGTCCGCCGCCATTTCCGCCACCAGTCTTGGCTTGTCCCTTCTGCTGTGAAGGAGCACGCGTTTTTGGCACCCATCTTCGTTGCCCTATCGTTGCCCTTTCTCTTTTCCTTTGCCCGTATCGCCGCCTAAAAGCGGGGGAGGACTCATTTCTTGGCTTTAGCAAGTTCTATTCCACTGTAGCAGCATCTTAGTTTTTTTGTCTGGGATGCTGCAAACAGAGCAGAAGAGTTCATCTTAGGCACATGTTTTATGCGCTGCATGTTGGCTGCAATCATCACTAGTTTGCTTCAACAAATCTTCAGGACCTGCTCTTTAAGCTTTGCCTTAGACCGCCGAGCTTGCTTTGCCATGTCTTTGCATTTTTGCGTGTCAGCCGTAATTTTGCAAATGTTTTTGTAAAGGCCATGAAGCTGTGCTGTCAACGCAGTCCTTCTGCCACGGACTTCAACTTCATTCAAGTCCAAATCCAGCTGGTGCCGGGTGAGCCAGCATTCCTCGAAAAACTCTTTCTTGGTCACCTGGCGCCACTGCCGTTGTTTGCGCTTGTCGAGAATCTGTTGCAACGTTTTTGCCTCACGCACCGAACTGCACTAGAAGGTCTACAAGACATGGTTTTCCTAATTCATTTGAAGAGGCAAACATTGCAAGGCCTTTTGCATTAATATGCAATCCAGAGCAATCCGTGTTGCATTCTATGATGTTCTATGCATTCTGATGCATTATGCAATGCGGTCACAGCGCTGTGATGCCCTACCGCTCGGTCTAATTTCTTCGGTGCAATGTCACACCAGTGTGGCTTGTCGTGAGGTGTGATGATGTGTTTCGTGATTTGATGCGATCCGTGGCCCACGTGCAACAACGTTGGTAGACAGTGCCTTTGCGAGTAGAAGGGAATTCGCAGCAAAGCATGGAACTCAATATTTTAACACCAACGGTTTATCTGGCGCTCGAATTCCGACAGCTCGAAGACAAGAAGCACGCTCAAGGTCATGCGCAACCCTCCCGAGGTGAAAGGTGCACGGTGAAACGAAAATTGGCAACTTTACATGGAGGGGGCTCCTGGTATCGCTACAAGGAGCAAGAAGCTACTAGTAACAAGAAGCTACTAGTAACAAGTGCATCGCTTCTAGTAACAATTTAATATAATTCTACTTTGTTACTACTAGCGAGGCACTTGTTACTAGTAGTAACAAGAAGCTACAAACGGGGAGATTCATCCCAAGGCGAAGCTGGAAGGCGTCGCGACAGCCGCAAGGTCGGTCCGACGATCTGACACAGATGGAAGTCATTGTGCGTCCGGCGCGTGAAATAAGAACCGCACAACGCGGGGGATGGAAGTCATTGTGTGCATGACAGTGGTGCGCAAATATACTGGCAGTGACATGAGATGATTTAATGTGATTTGTGCTGGATTGTGGTATTGTTTGGCAGTGGTTTCAATTGAGTGGTCAGAGCGGTGGTTGTGTTGGCTCGCAATTCGCAAGTTCAGCGAACTTCTGCAACCTGGCGCAGCCAAAGCTTCTGAATCCATCCCGCCCACATATATCACTCACGCACCTCTAACTAATTTTGCGCTTTTTGTCTCAGTGTTTTGTCTACGTTTTTTGTGTTTAATCCTTGCCTTTGCTCAGGAGGAACTTCAAAGCATCTTCGCCACCGTCCTGAAGCGCAATATCTCCCAGGCTAAATGGACACCTGAATTAGAATTAAGTTAAATAATAGCTTTTTGTTACTACTAGTAAGGCACCTGTTACTACTAGCGTGGCACTTGTTACTAGTAGCGGTTTTGGATTTCACCTTTCCAGGTCTCCAGCTCCGTGTCGTTCTTTGCTTTGGGCGGTCATTCCATCTCCGTTGGGCAGTTGGTGAACCGGATTCGTCGAGAGTTAATGCGTGACGTCTGCATCACCGACATTTACGCAGCTCCAAGCGTAAGGCAGCTGGCAGCAATGCTGGAGGAAAGAGGAAGGGCGGCTGGAGCGGCTGGAGGCCATCGCCAGGAAGTTGCAGAGAATCCACCTGTTGCAGATTATCCTGCGAGCTACCAACAAGTCTCTTTGGGAGGGATGGCTGCAATGAGTGCTGATGCTTCACGCGCGCTCAACCTGACGTTCTGCTGCCATGTCAGAGGTTGTTTAGACGTTGAACGTCTTCATCAAGCCTTTGTGGCTGTCCAGCTGCGGCATGACGCGTTACGCTCTACTTTTCGGGATTCAGCTCTTTGCCAGGTGCAGTCAGGTGACTGCTTGGATTTCTTATTCATGGATCCACCAGCAGATTTGGCCGAATGGGTCTTGGACCAACAATATGAACCTTTCGATTTATGCAATGGACCTCTTTGCCGAGTCAGAGTCATCAAAGAATCCAGTGACGCATGGATTTTGCATTGGACCTTGCACCATGTTGCTGCTGATCTTTGGAGTTCCTTTGATCCAATTGTGAAACCGAAGCTGCTAGTAACGATGTCCTTGTTAGTTTGTTTGAAGGTCCAAATAATTCAAGTTGAGGCTATACCTTACTGCTGCGAGATTTGGGCTTCGCTTATGACCAGCTGAAAGGGCGTTCAAACGCCACCGCAGACGTCCAATGGCCCACTGTGGCGCCCTCCTATGGTGCTTTAAGTCGAGCGAGTGCAGCGGCTCGTGACGCCAACTCCACGGCCAAGGACTTTTGGCGACGAAGACTTTCGCCCAGACCGCCGTCCCGACGCTTACTCCCCTTGGCCGAAGAGAGCTGGAAGCAAAGCGTCAAAAGTGCCAAGCAAAGCGATGGCGATGAACAAAGGAAAGCGAAAACGCCAAGTCGAAGTTTCAAAGGAAGCAAGGTGGACTTTGAATTGAGTCGGCACCTTTCGGAGAAACTCATCAAGTTGGGTGAAGAATGTGAAGCTTCACTTCATGCCATTTTATTAGCAGCTTGGATGGTACTTCTTTCTCGATATGCTGAGGAAGACATGGAGGACATGTGTATTGGAACTCCTTTGGCATGTCGCAACACCTTGGAGTCCGAGAGTTGCGTGGGTTATTTTGTCACGCCCGTGTGCATTCGTGCGTCCGTCCGAAAGGGCACCTCCTTTCGTCACTTTCTAAGTCAGATTTGCCAAGAGACGCGACAGGCCTTGCAATTCCAAGATCCAAATGCCTTCGGCGAAATCTGTGAAGAACTCAATTTGGATCTTAGAGACGTTTTGCAAGCCATCTTCGTTTTTCAATCCACTCCAGATTCGTTCACCTTCTCCACACAGTTGCCCTCCTTTTTCATGGGGCACGAGGGCTCGGAAGTTCCGTTGGGCTCTGAATTGCACTTGGAATCCATGGCACTTGGGCAGCGCTATGTACAATTTGACTTGGCTATGATGATGGCTTTCTGTGATTCTGGATCTCCATGCCTCATCGGGAATTTGCAGTATTGCTTCACCTCATATTCTCGTGAGACTGTTTTGCGTTTGCAGGCAGAATACCAGCGTCTCTTGGAACGTATCGTGGCAGAACCCTCCTGCGATGTTGCACAAATCCAGTTTGTTCATCCCGAAGATTTGCGACTCCAAAGTCGGGCAATCAGTCCGTGGCAGGACGGGCGCAGCAGAAACGCCAGACATCTTTTAATCAAGAGCAAGCACACATTACATAAGTTCTGTGAATAGATGTTTTTCCAAAATATTTCAACATGAAATCATGATCACATTCACGCATGTCCTGCCGTTCACGGATGTCGGATCCAGCGCCCCATCTAGCCAAAACAGCTTGTGGGCTGCAACGATCGCTTCGCACGGAGTGGAGCCTGGCCCCCCCCCTGAAGGGTGGGCTCCAGTTCGTCGCTGGCCAAGGGGTGCAAGAGGCCAGCCATTTTTGGACTAGTAGCGTGGCACTTGTTACTAATAGCTTCTTGCTCCTAGTAGCGATGCACTTGTTTCTACTAGCCACTAATGGCTTCTTGTTACTACTAGTAAGGCACTTGTTACTAGAAGCGATGCACTTGTTTCTGACGTACAGCAAGGATGGCAGCCCCCACGATGAACCCTCAGAACTGCACCTCCCGTGCAACAGGGCTATGTGGAAGCACTGGAATGGGAGAAACGATCGCTTGCCGGTCGCCGGCTTCGATCTGTCCCGGAAGGCCTAGCTTTAATCAGTCTTGGAAGGCGCAGCCAAGACAGCAGCGCAACACAAAGCAACAGGATGAATTTCTCATCAAGGCCAAGGTACAGGCACCGACCTTAGTCGAAGCGGGGAAGACCATCAGTCGCTTCTTCTACCAATTTCTAAAGATGGCACTACGTGGCGGAAGGGAGGGAGAAGTGTGGCTGAGGGGGGGCCGTTCGATCCAGCAAGGCAAGAAGGAGGGCCAGACTAAATCCGCCTTCCACCCCTACAGGGACTCCGAGTAAAGAGCGCCCGCTCATCACCCCAAACCAGGCCATCCTAGCGCGCGGTGTAGAGAGGCTTCAGAAATCTTTGGGGGCAATATGTTCTTGACACGCAGCAAGTATATCACAGATTTGGCACCTCTTCATGAAGGAGCTTTGGGTTGGTGCAGGAAGCGCCCCAGAGGAAGCTGTTCAGCCTTCACGCAGCTGATTTCGGCTTTGGGTAGCTTTAGGCAGAAGTTTGGGATTTGCAGCTACAGCGTGCCCAAGAAGAAGCAGGGCAGGAGATCCAGCGCTATGAGGACTACAAGAATGTCAGCGCAGTGAGCGCCGTGGGGGCGTGGAATGGAAGCGCGCTTTGATGGTGGCGTTGCTAGCTGTGCTCCAGACAGCGAAAGCCTAATGATTGAGCCCAATGCAGGCGGCTTGGTCTTCACAGACCTAGCTGGACCTAGCTTTCAGGATCAGCACTGTGTTTTGCTTCAGCACGTGCTGCTGTGGATCGTGTTCAAGTGTGTGACCAGGCGCGCTTTCAGGTCTATGGCGGCTTGAGTCTTGGCACGACTGGATTGTAGAAAGGCAATTCGGTGCGAGATCAACGATAGGCTCCTGAAGGCCTACTACTTGGAGGCAGAGCGGTCTTGCATGTGGATTGAATTTGTGCTTGTGCGATATTGAACATCCACACAAGGGCCGCGCCCATGAGATCTTGAAGCTCTGCAAGGGATGCACGCCAGACGCATCCACCTTTAAGCGTGGTACCCGGATGCATGTGTAGATACATTATAGTACAGCTGACAAACCGCAGCCCTATTGCATCTTAGAAACTGGAGCTGCCTGCTTGCAAGGGCCCATGCTGCCGATGCTCGTTTGGTTTCCATTGTTTTTGAACTGGTGGGACTGGCCCGCAAAGCAGGGCCACTGATCTTTCGGCAACGGGCGCCAGATGCTTCAGTGGTTCACATGAAAGGTGGAAAAAGGGTGCGCGTCGCGACCCCAAGGTTCTGCTGTAAATCTTGTTTGTGGCAGCAACACTGCTCGTGCAAACCCGAGGAGCAACATGGGGCACTTCCTTCAGAATCTTTGGCTGAGCTGGTGGTGCAGCGAGCAAGGCAAAATCCAACTGCGTTTGCGGTTGTGAGCCCTGAAGGCACTTTTACTTTTGGTGAAGTTTTACGCCGGGCAGAGCTTTTAGCTACTTGTTTGTTGGAACATGCGCAGCCGATCTACGTTGACAACCGAAGCCGCAGTGCCAGTGGGGCGAGTCGATCGGGCTCTGCCGAATTTGGCGCTGTTGGCTCTGTGGCCCCATGGTTGGGGAGCATCGGCGGAAAGCGCCCCACAGGCCCGGGCCACGCACCTGCCTCTGCCTTTCCTTCACCTTTGCTCGAAGAGTTGGCATGCCATTCGTCAGATGTGGAAAGTGGAGGAACCTTGGGAGCTTCAGATTTGGTGGCTTTGATGGTGGGCCCAGGGCTGTGGATGATCGCGGGTCCTTTAGGCGCTTGGATGGCAGGAAGTGGATACTTTGCTTTGGATGCGTCCCATCCGTTGGAAAGGATTTTGCAAATGACTGAAGATGCTGCACCGGGGTGTCTCGTAACTGAGAAACGTCACCAATCTTTGGCAAACTCTTTGGGTTGGCCTTCAGTCATGGTTGAAGATCTCAAAGAGTTTGATCTCAGGCAAGGCCGTCCAGACAAATCATTGGAATGAGTTGGACAAATCATTGGAATTGATTGTTTGCAGCATTTGCGCTGCATTTGCTACATTGTTTCTATTTAAGCTGCCGGGTCGTTCCACAAAACCTGGCAGACTTCGTGTTCGACGAGAACCCTGGCCATACCTCTCTATGGAGGCTCCCAGCCTCATGGTGTTCACCAGCAACGGCCTTAGAATTGCCGTCCGACAAAGAGCTTAACATCTATGAACACCGTGAGCGCTGTCAAAGTCGTTTCAGTTTGGCGCTAAAGATTCGAAAGACTGCCGAAATGTATGACACAAACTTGCCAAGGTGGATCCACGGGAAGACCCAAAGGCTCAAATTGTCAATATGTTTTGCAGTGTAATGATGGCGTGAAGGCATCTCCAGACCGGAATGTTTTCAAGATGCATCGATTTGGCAACTTGCAGTTTTTTCGTTTCCAGTTGGGAAGGTGTTCTGCTCTCTATGAGGGCGTTGCTGGCACACGTGCTTTTCACCAGCAAGCATTTTGACTTCAAGCATGGGCAGGTCACCGATGCGAACTGCACATTCTTTCGAAGACATTCTCACAATGTCAGTCACAAAGAACAAAGTCCTGCACAACAAAGCGCCGTTTGTTCCTTCATTCGGTTGAGTTCGTTTCGGCTTGTTGTCCGGTGCAGGCTGTCCTCCAGCATACCTCTTGGACATTCGACGCGTCGCCTTGCCTGACGAACATGAGTGTTCTTCACTTCGTAACTTCGTAACGTGAGTTTTTCTGACCATTTTTGAACCGCAAGGGTTGTAGCGATCAGGCCCAACTGCGAGATTTGGCCGGCCATCCTGGCGGGTGCAACGGTGGTCATCAGCAAACAACATGGTTCCAAGGCGTGACCCGGTACACCGTCCGACCAATGATTGCAAGCAAACAAGAAAAACAGACATCGTGTAATACACAAAACTATACATTATGTTTATATATATTATATATATACTATACGTATATATACTTTTGATAATACTATGTAGTTGATATGTCATCCTGGCAGGATTTCCAATATATTTCAGCCCTGGTCGATGAGCACCGCGTGAGCCACGCTCTGTTTGTGCCATCTTTGCTCGCAGATGCTTTCACGCAATTGAACCGACTTGGGGTGTAGTGCCAAGCTCTGCATGCCATGTGTTGTACACAAATCACAGACACAATTCCTATTCCCGGCGTGTTTTGCCACCTTAGGCACTCTTTTTTCGCCACTTTGCTTTAGCACTCGCTTTTGACACCCGCCTACTAAGCAAGAATGGTGCCAAGTGTGCCAGGGTGTGCGCGCGGTGCTTAGGAGATCCTGGAATCTTCCGCCTTGCCACGAAGTCTTCGATCTTTGGTGGTTGTTGGTGAGGCATGGGAGCCACAGCATTAAACCAGAGAAAACGCCAGACAAAGAAACCAGCAGTTTGGCAGCGTGTTGAAGGCCTGCTCCTTAAGATTGGCGCACCGGATCCTTGAGGCATCCGTTTAATTCAAGCAACAAGAGAATTGGATTCTGTAGCTTCTTGTTACTACTAGTAAGGCACTTGTTACTAGAAGCGATGTACATGTTCCTAGTAGTGAACATTGTTTCCACTATATTGTAAACATGTGGATTTTGCTAGTCTTTTTGAGTTACTAGCAATTGGCCTCCAATCTAGAAGCAGGCGTAAGAGTCCCAAGTCTAACGCATGTGTTCACAGCATGTCTACATATAGTTGTCTATAATGTGTCTACATAGAAGCTGCTAGGGGCTCCTGGCCGTACTACTAGGAACAATGTTTGCTATATAGAAGTTTGCTTCGATGTGCGTCTAGGCTCCTTTGTCTCTGAACAATTTCTATGGACCTTCTGAAGCCGGCATCGGTGCGACTATCTATGAGGTTCGGGAAAGACGATTCGCAGAGTTGCGGTTTCGATTAAGTGCGGATCAAGGAATTAGATCGCATCCTAGTTCACTAGGGTGGAGGCCATCGCTAGTAGGTTGGCCATAGCTATATAGTGTTTGCATGTGTGTGCGGTTTGCTGAAGATGTTGAGGTGGACAAGATCAGTACAGTTCCTCACAATGCTCCGCACCCAGAACCGAGACGAGCTCGGAGCTTGAAAATCCACCGCTGTGAGCTGACGGAATGAAACGAAGCGGCTGGTGCAGCCATGGCGCAAATGAAAGAATTATGCGAAGAGAAGCACAGCTAGAAAGAGAGCGAGATGTGGGTTTACAGGAAAGTAGAGAGGATGGAAAGTAGAATCTTACCACTTATACCCACTTAAGTATCCACATCAATTTCACTAATCAACACAGTACACACTCCTCAAGCATTCGGGTAAAGCGCTACCTGACAGTCTAAGCTGCGGTATTGGCCCTCAGCGGCGCACAGTTAGTAGCTGGATGCAGAAGACTGCTGGCTTCTCTAAGGAAGCCTGAGCCTTCTGATTTGGTTCCTAGATGTTTGGGGAAACTCAACTTGAACAACTGAAGAAACCCCTCCTTCGGATGCGCCAGCATGAACAATCTTCACTGGGCAGACAGCTCCCAGGCAAAGGGACAGAGCAAAACAGAGCAGCGCCACCCGAATTTGGAGATTGCTTGATGAGGGACCTCTTAGCAAATGTTAGGTTGGAGGCCATCACTACTGGGATAAAGAAGCTCCTAGGGGCTCCTGGCATCGCTACTAGGAGCGATCGGACGCTAGTAGCTTGGAGGCCATCGCTATTAGGTTGAACCTAATAACGCTCATTGAACCGTCTCAGGTGCAAACGCTGCCGATTGGGAGACCAGTGTCCTGGCATCAGGCGAACTTGAGATGTTAGTCTTGTGGAACTTGGGACATTTTTCCGGCAATTCTGTACATGATTTTTTCCATATTCATAAGATGCACTCGATACAGTGTTGTCAACAGACTGGTGGCGTACTTGCTTGGCACATCTCAGCAGCGGTTTGCTTTGCATTTGCCTTTCTCCATCTAAATGATCCATGCCTCCACGCACTTGTCAGCGGTTTGTGCAAATGATAGAATGCAAAATTCTGCTCTGCTGGAGGCCATTGCTAGTAGGTTAGTAACGCACAACAAGGATGTTTGTTTTTTCTTAACTTGCTATCGAGGATCTTGATCTTGGATCGATGTTGTCAGGTGCTGCTGCTGGATCCTCAGCTACGTCCGGCAGTTGGCCGGGCAGGGCAGATTGGCATCATGGGTGAGGCGGGAAGAGATTTGGATTTCCTTTCGAAGTGACATCCTTGAAGACCTACAAGAAGCTACAAGGGCCTCCTCACCTTACTGCTAGTAACAAGAAGTTACTAGGGGCTCCTGACCTTACCACTAGGAGCAAGAAGCTACTAGGGACTCTTGACCATACCACTAGGAACAAGAAGCTACTAGGGGCTCCTG